TAATTTGACTCAGATTTTGTATGTACATGCATCTAGTGATGTCATGTCAAAATTTTGAAAATGGTGGAGGGAGAGGGGGTAAATAGACGTTCTCTTCATGGTATTCTAATGAAATGTCTCATCGAAATGAATTGATTTCTACAAATTATAACCTTCCTGCGCGATTCTGTTTCGACATCACTGGGTGACCGGCGGGGTGGATCTTCCATGGTATTCTAATTAAAAGGCAAAAAAGTATACCTGTTTTCTACCAGCTCCCGGCTTTCTTTCTAACCCCTTATCAAAAAGAGGGGGGGGGGACTTGTTTTATCCTTAGTGGTACTCTAATGAATGGATTCATTGAAAGGAATTACCTTTTACCAATCATAGTCTTCCTCCTCGACCCATTATCGTGATCGCTTATAATTACTTATATCTCAAGAGCGGATTGTCTGGAAAGGTACTCACAAAAGGCGATTGGGAGGTCTGGAAGAAATATATCTTTTGGTGATGGTATAATTTATGAACGAAACGGTTTGTCGAAGGAGAGTATACACAAAGGCAAAATGAATCCTCTGAAGAAGACATACCTATCTATTAGTGAAGTCCAACCGAATATCTTGAAAACGAAGTGTCATAAGAGGGCACTCATAAAGCGCAAATGGAACGTTAGGACAAGACATGTCCATTGGAGATGTCGAAACTTTCATTGCAAATATCTGCAGAACTATTCCGGTTTAAAAATGCGCTTTAATTAAGAGTTGTGCACAATTTTACTTGTTTACGTTGGTAAAATTAAATGTCTTTAATGTCTAATGTCATGAACCTGAGCTAATTTAGTTTGTAACATGGCCTTTATACAAAACCTGCCGTTAAATTTTTAAACCTACCGCTTTTTCAGTAAAACGGTAGGTACAACAGGGAGCATTTCAAATTTGCAACACTGCTTGGCTATTTAATAATAATAATAATAATAATAATAATAATAACGTTTATTGCGTACAGAAAATATACACAAAAGGAAAATATTCGGTAAAAACCGTTCTTCCATTTCCCCTTAAAATAAAAGTTTACATTTTCTCGTTCCTAAATTGCGGAGGTATATAACTACAATAAGTAGGTAGGTATACATCTAAAATATAAATCATACAAAAAGTGTAACATGGTTAATTGAAAAATAACAGTATGCAAAAACAAAAATTAATCAAAATAACAGAGACTATTTCCTTCAGGTGACTTGTGTGTAATTACTTTTCTGACTGATGTTTTTAGAAAACAAACATGCGTTCTGTGATACATCAATCCTACTTAAGTTTCTAGTGAGTATGCTTAATTTATATGGTAAATTTAAAAACGACCCTTCTTATGCAGATTACATGGTTGCATTGTATGTATCCTAAAGCGCAATTTTGTATTATGTGTTAAAAATGCATTTTGATATTAAACCAGTACGTAAAAGTTCTTGAGTATGAAAAAATTTACTATACTAAACTTTACGTCCTTCTGAGTGTATTCCTAAACTATACGCATTAGTGTTACTGGGTGGGTACTTACACAATAAGTTATCATCAATTAATTTAGGATTTATCTTTAAAGAAACACATCATTTCATCAGTTCAGTTAGTGTTACTGTCAATTTTGTCCACTTGTGCAGGTACTTACTGTGTTACAATAGTGTTGTTTGGGAGATACATCAAGTCAAAGTTTCTAGTTTTTATTTAATTTTTGAAAAAATAGATTTCAGCAAAAATTTAAAGATTATAAATTTGGATATTTATTTCTATATGTACCTATAACTAATCTATTTGTGTAAATTTATTTTCAAGTCCAGCTACGTAAAAGATGGTTTATTTTCAAAAATTACTATATAAACACGAAACTTTAAATTAGTGTATCTCCTAAACTATACGCATGTTAGGGGGCCAAATAAAATATCAAATTAAAGGTACTTTTATACACTACAGTTTTTAATTAAGGATGTTTTTACCTAAGTATTACCGTTGGTGAGTTATATTAAAAAAACCGACAAAAAGAAAGAAATTTTTGCAGATTTTTGACCACAGAATTTTCTCACGACGTCAGTCGAATTGGCAAACTTGGATTTTTCTCTCTCTTTACCATTTAAACAAGTCGGAAAAATAAAATCTTCTACCGGACCTTTTGTAATCAGAAAGTACAAATTGACTGGACTATTACTGCAATATTTAAAAACACGTGCCATGTCAGTACGATCTCGTTTCAGGGGTTTGACGAATGGACCAACAAACAAAGAGTTCACAAATATGACTAAGTTTTTAGGGGCAAATGTGGTAAAAACTAAGCGTAACGAAAGTAGATGTTTCACTGACTTTGGGATTGGCATGATGAACTAACTATGCTACTACCATTGAATAATTGACACCAAATGCCAGTTCCGTTAAATCCTAACTAGAATACAAAAAATACAACCTTTTAACCCATTTACTAAAGGAGATCTGACGAAATTGTGCCGTGTGCGGTTTTTAGAGAAATTTTTCGAAAGGAATTTTAAGTGAATTTGATTTGATTGATTTCAATGAACCAGGTTGAGTGTCAAAAAAGTCCCCTACTGAAAATTGTATGCATTCGTCTTATGTTGTGTTATTGCGCATGGACCTACAGTCTTCTCCAGTAACATTGCATTACCCTCTGTCTCAATTCAGTTTTTTCCCGTTCCCGTGGGAATTTCGGGACGAGCGGAGTGAACCTTAGCCCTCGCCTTAGCCCCTTCAAAGAACCCTACGTTCTACGTGTCAAGTTTGCTATCTTTCGCAGTTTCGACTGTTAAACGTAAAATCCCGTTCCCATAGGATTTTAGGGTGATCTATAATTACCCCCAACCCCCACCCCACCCCACAATGCCCAAGGAACCTACATGCCAAATTTCAGGTTTCTACGCCCAGTAGTTTCGGCTGTGCGTTAGTCAATAACGGAAATGTTTTCCATACAGGGTATTCCTATAAATGATGTAAATACAGAAGAGTGGAGGAATTCTTTGGCTTATTTTATGACTAAAAGTTCATATACATAGACTTACACGGTTGGAGATATTTCGCTCAAATTTGATATATTACACTGAAGAGCTTACATCATTGGTCATGTCAATGTTAGTGAAAATCTACAAGGTATTGTTTTTTCAGGGGCCATGTTCCATTTTCTACCCCTGAACTTTTTTCGGTGCGCCACTGGTAGATTGTGGAACAAGAATTTAAATTTCTCGCTTGTTTAAAAAGTGTATAGTCTCTTGTAATTCTTTCGTATCCGTGACCGTTATCGAAAAAACAAGTTTTAAATCAGCATATACATGATTAAAGCGCATTTTTGGTAATACAGTTCAGTATATTAGCGAAGTTTAAAATTCTAGATCTCACGAGTAATTTTGGCTGCCTTAAATAATTAATTTTATTTAATTCCAATTGAGGGTACGTCTCACAAGTAATCTAACTCAAAATAGACTAGAGCCTGCAGATCTACACTATAGCAGAAAGTTTTTAGTGAAAATTTGAAGTGGCTAGCTATTGTAGTTGCTGAGATCTCACCCGGACAGCCGGCCAGCCAGCCATAGCGAGTATAATAGCGTATTTTTTTCAAAAATGCGCTAAAAATAAAAATCAATTTTCGGTAGTTATAGCTAAATGAAAGTATAATTTTTAAATTGATCCAGTGGACCTTGGATTTATTTCGATAATATCTTGTTTTTATTACTCTTGACAGTTGGCATTGAAAATTCTATCTTATGTTTCCATATGTTTATAAATTAAAGGTTTAAATTGTAAAATGTACGGTAGAACTATAACACCCTGTAGATCGGTAACGAAGGATTTGTGGACCTATGTTTATATGAACTTTTAGTTATTAAACAAGCCAAAGGTTTAGCCCCTATATACATCATATTTAGAAACATCCTGTATATTGATTATTATAACTCGATTGCAGGAACATTCGCCCCGAAAAATTTTCTACGAGAAAGTCGCCCCCGAAATATTAGGCTCCAAGAAGATACGCCCACAGGTAAATTCGCCGTCTGAAATATTATACACCTCTAGAATATTATCCGCGGTATATTCCCCCCCGGAAGATGCAACTTCGAAAGATTTACGCGGAAAATTTTTACCCCTGTTTTTAACCAGGAGTATGGGTTCGTTAAGCCATTCCTTACGTCCTTACGAGAGCTGGCATGGCTTCAATCATACTAACGTTACTTTTCGAAAGTGTTAAGACGATATGACGATCTTGGCGAAGATACTGCCGGAAAATTTTCTGGGACCAAATATTCTTGAGGAGAGTTGCCTTGTGAGCGAATATTCCGAAGGTGATTTTTCTTGCAACAAAATCTTTAGTGGGGTGTTTGCGCGCGAAGCTTCTGGGGGTGAATTTTCCGAGAGTAAAATATTCCGGAGGAGAATTTTTCGAGAGTGAATCTGCCGGGGGGCGAATAAGTCGGCGGCGAATCTTTCTGTAAGCGACTCTTTCTAGGGGCGAATTTACGGGAGTACGTTTCACAAAACGAATTCAGTGCACACGCCCTTTTATGTTTCTGATCTATGTGTATATGTGCTTAAATTTTTAAGCTTGTAATCGTTTAAGTTTGACTATTACGAAATTAATACTTTGACCTTTATTTTGTGCAAAACGCTATCCTCTTTTAACTGCATTTCCGGTACCTACAGTATGCCTACCAGTTGTTAATCTAAGGACAACGTTTAATTAAAAAGGTAGTAGAGTATAATCTCTTTAAGGTCAAATGATTTATTAAATTAAAACCGTTTCATTTTACCAGCTTATAGAATAAAATCAAACTATTCAAGCATATCCGTCCTTACCATAAATACTTGTCAAATATGAACTTTTACTCAGTACATCTAGGTATTTCTCCTGAACATCTCTAACAAGTACTTAAAATGCGTTTGCCAGTGCTTATTTTAATCACTCTTCATCATTTCGCGTGTTCGGAACCATACGGAAGGCCATCTTATGAATACAGGTATCAAACGGAAGATGTAATGCAAAGTGATGCCACAAGCATCCCTGTACGCGGATATCATAGTGTGCGTAGAGATTATTATCCAGATTTGGATTTTAGTCATTCTTCGGGGCTGTTTCGTCCCAATTATAGACGATTTGATCGTCATCCATATACGCATTCCGATTATCACAGGAGACCTTACTACCAACCGCGTTATTATAATCACGTAGGTGGTGGTGGTTATAACGATGGTCAGAGGTTTAGCGAGGGCGGCAAGACTTACAAAGACGACAACTACGAAAAGCTGCATGGAAGTCATGGTGAACACTCGGTCGAAGACCAAGCTGGTTATAATCGTGGAAACGCGAACGTAAAAAGTAGCAAGGGAAAATCTGGCTACCATAACGAAGAAGTGGGCAAAAGGAAGTCGGCCGATGATGGAAAATCTTACCACGGAAGTGAACATGTCAACCAAGAAGGTCTAGTATAAATACATATGTTGTTAGGGTGCGATAATTGTCATTCTTATAGGAAAGCAAGGTGGGCAAGAGCAAGAAAAAGCTTCTCACAAAAAGGGACACGTAGTAAAAGGTTTTAAGAAATCCCACCATAAGGACGAAGATTCTAAAACTGAAGAGTATTACGATGAAGCTCATAATGAAGGTGGTAACCACAAGTTTGGAGAAGGATCCGGAAGCTTCGGTAAAAATAGTGCTTCTGCCTACAAGGGAGGGCACGATGAAGGAGGTTATAATGAAGTAGCAAAGAAAGATGATGGTCATTACGATTCCAAACATTCTGTCGTTAACGCGGATGGTGATCAAGGTCACTACAATAACAATAAGCATTTTGAAAAGGGAGAAAGCTATGATGCACGAAATGGAGGCGATCAGCATTCTTTGTTGGGGCATCAAGAAGTGAGTAAAGTGTACAACGAGCGTCCTTTTTTCCCTATAGATAAATAGACCCAATGAATAATTTAAATGATACAGATATAGCTACAATGAGAGGCAAGAGAAGAGAAATTGGTTTACCTGCAGCTTTCTTTGAATCTATTATGTAATTGTATTATAATATGTACTCGCGTACAGAAACATATTAAGTAGGTACATTTTGTTTTACTTGGTATTTTAAATTTGCATGTTGTGTTTTGTAAAGCTTTAATGATGAAGTAAAAGAAAAAAAAACTGGAGGAATGCTGTTGTTTTGACAAGGCTTTGAAAGAACACATATAATCACGACAACGAGCTTCAACCATGTAGCAATTATGGTCGTTCAATACCTTACTCCCACCAACAAACTATTAATCATTTTCTCCGAACGTTTCGATGCATAACTGAGAGGTTCCACCCTGATGTATACTTCCTAATATTTCACCCCTAAAACTGAGGTAGGTACCTACCCTACAAAAATTCGAAAAAAATCAAACCCACTAAAGGGTTCCCGTTACACATATCATTTCCTCTCTAATCCACATTCTTTTTCCTTCCCTAATTCTTAATTTTAATAAAACCCCAAAGAATTTCTTAACTGATTTTACGTACTATTCGGAAGTCGGAATCGAAACTAAAGCCACCACCTCCCTTTTACGGTCTCTTAACAGGAAAATAAAAGTTAGTTGAGCCTAATTTGATCATTATGAGTCTCATCCTGAGCAACCGTGGGCGCAAGCCTGTTGAGGGTCCAGAACAAGAGAGGGATAATAAATAAATAAATAAATAAAAACGTAAGCCGAGGAGGGGGGCTATTATTCGTCCCTTTTTTCCCCTTCTGACAGCGCTTCATTGTCTTACATACTTTTGCCGTCAAAAAAAGGAAATGTGCGAAAAATACTTACTACGGTACTGCTAAACGATATACATTGAAACACCCTGAAAGGTTACACCCTGTATAATACAACTTACGACGATACATACATTTTTGAAAGTTGGCAACCATGCAATTTCTAGGTGGGAAATATTAGTGGGAAAAAGAAAAAGCTGCCTGCGCCATCTGAAGACCACGAACGTGGATTACGTTTGGTATCATCATATACTTCTCTTATATATATGGGTATCATGTTTTGAGTGGCATGGCGGTTGTGAACGCTTCGCTCCATAAATGTTTGTTGTTATTTTGTGTTATTTAATGCATTATACAGGTAGTAATTTTTGCAATTCTTTATATCGTATTAGTGTTTTGTATGCCACATTTTTTATTTTTTGTGTGTTTCAATCTTTGTTAGCGTATTTTCCTCAAAGCGAAAAATCGCTATTGGCTGTACTTTGACGTCCGTCCGTCTGTCCGTCACACGTACTCCTTCTAAACCACTGAACCGATTTTGGCGATATAGGACTCATTTGAAAGGTCTTGGCTCAAGGTCCAATGATTCCGGGCATACCCATATCAAAAATTTGGTGTAACTCATGTGCGATGCTAACTTTTTTATTTATGAAGATATTTAAATGAAATTTTATACATAGGCATTTGGAATAAAGACAAATCTAACAGCAGTTGCAAAATTTGGTTTTGCGCATGCGCAATGGCAACTTTATTACGAAAGCAATCAAATGAAATATCATATGTAGGCACTTTGAATGAAACTAAAACCAATGCTAAAACTAATACCGGTTTCAAAATTACTGTTTACGCATGCTGTATTTGTTATTTGTGAAGGTATTCAAAACATTTCTAATGTAGACAATGCGCAATGCTATTTACGAAAGCATTTAATTTCTACCAACCATACTCCTCCTACTCGGCCCCTTATCGTGGTCGGTTATAATTCCTTATATCTGAACAGCGGATTGTCGGAGGAGGGTACACGCAAAGGACGATTGGGGCGCCAAGGAGAAATATATCGATTGGTGATGCCAAAATTTTAAAAGCGAATATCTCAAAAACGGTTTGTTTAGATTTTTGGATGCTAGTCTCTGCTGTGTCTAAGAAAGAACAAATGAAAGGAAGATTTGGGTTATTCTGGTTTGGAAGGATGAGTTGCCGCAACGTTCGCAATCAGCACAGCGACTGTTATCATCATCAGGATAGCTTTATGTCAAATGCCACATACCGATACAGTAATGAAAATAGAAACATTTGTCCGATAAGTGTAATAAATTTGAAAAACACTTCTATAGTCCAGGCCCTAGAGAGAGTAGAGTACTTTAATTTATTACTGATGTTTCTTCGCCAAAAAACCGATATCAAATGAATTATTTCGCGTTTTGTGGAAAAACCGCCCATTTTCCGCCATTTTTCCAAGATGGCGGCTCTCGCGTCATCCGCATTTTTGTGCAAATGTCAAATTTGGATTCAGCGACCCAAAAAACATACACCCTGCATCATGGTTCTTTGTCTCAGAAATTTGCAAGGTCGAATCCTCTGGAGCCAGGACTACCTACTACGTTTTCTCAAACTCACATATAATTGCGGATTTTTATTTTCTGGTGTACCTACTGAATCATAGTTATTAGCAGGATGGTTTATACCTCCTGCAAGATTTACCTAGAAGAAAATGTTGATTACTTTTTTACTCAAGAAATATTAAATCACATAGTGAAGTTTTACCTACCGAAAGGATACACCCTATAAGTACATAGGTATGTACAAGATCGAAAAAATTGGGACTACCTATGCCATGAAGTGCCATTAACAAGTAATCCGTTCAATTAATGATTAGTACTTACATAAAACCAATTCAATTTAACTATTTGTTCTACTTGTCATCAGAGAACATGTAAACGGCTCATTCATGCGAAAGGAAACAATTGTCAATCATGATTTTGAATTTAGTTTAATATATAAAATTGAGAGGAAGATTTTGTTACATTTCAGTATTGTACAGACAAAAAGTTACTAATTACATTAAGCAAAAGTTTCATTTTTTGCACAGTGATACATACACACTTCACTATATTTAATAGTATACACTATTTAAAATAAAATTGTATGATTTGAAAATTCACATTAATTACAGTCTGATAGCCTAATATCATGCTACTGCTATTGTTTAGTAAACACATATTAATTAATTTCAGTACAGCACAATAACAATCACAGCATGCGATATCAATGTATCTATGTGCACTGATTCTTATTGCGCTATGACTATCTACAGTATATGCACGTAATAGTAACAGCTTTCAAAACACTGGTTCCTTAGTCACAAATGTCTTATATATGTCTTTGTACATTATACAATAGAAATAACAAAAACTAAAATAAATATATTTAGAGATCGTTAACATAACAAATTACATTATGTGTAAGAAAAATGTCGATGTTGCTTGGAAATGCACCACATATGTATAATAAATTAAAAAACCTGATTCTTTGGTATAAAATCCAATAAATCAAAAAATGACTAGTAAATAAAGTTATGGCTTGGAAAGATTGCTGTTGCTACTTTTTCATCAGGATCTGTTAGGTTGCGATAATGCCTTGTCAGAAACATGCCCACTACCTAAAATACCAATTAACATAAACGACATAGAAATATTGCTTCAAACAAAAATGTTTTTGTTAAACATTTTTGTTTTGTGAAAATATAGTTGAATTAGCCACTAAAATTTGCAACAGAGTAGTCAAGATGAGATAAATTAGAATTCTTCAACATCAGTCCAAGCTACTAGCTTCAAAGTAAAAGTATCAATCAAAGTAAATTAAGAGCAATAATAGTATTTCATTTTTGTCCCATCTTGTAAAGCAGTTAAGCAATGTAAGTTAAATTAAAATTGTCAAAAACAATGTGTTAGTATGTTAGACCCACCAAACTACAAACTGTGATGCGACTAAAGGAAAGCACTGGGATTAGCTCGAGGGTCTTTCTGGTTACGATACCTCACAGTTAACCATACTCCCAAAAACTGCAACATGCACAAGAATTGACAAATGCTGACAACACAACTTGCGTGTCACAAACTCCCCAAAATAGGAATGGTACAAATGTGAACACCTAAACTATATGTAATATTTAACCAGCAAATTCTAATTACTCGCTTACTAATTGATTATTTGTCTGGGTCAGGGATTAAGTTTAGCACTGGCAACGAGATTCATATAAGAAAAAGGCATAATTGTCTTATTCGTCCCAAGTTTATGGCATTTGGAAAATAAACTAGAAAACTAATTCTATCAAATAAACGTGGCAATTGAAATTGTGGCAATGTGTGATTTTTGTAAACATTAAATATTGTTGCATTGTTTTGTTTTCTACACAATATGCATTGTTGCAGATTGTTTAATATGAGTGAATTAAACCATGACTCAGACAATTATTTGCAGAAAGTAAGATGTCACATTTGTTCAACTCCAACCAGTAGGAAGAATTCCAAACAATATCAAAAGTTTGTTAAACAAATATATACAGATCACCTCTCAGATGAAGACACTTAAAAAAAATCAAATTAGTCGTGTATAAAAAGTTTCACATATACTGGGAATATTTCCCATGATCTTACCTCTGTAAAACTAAAGAAAAGTCCAATCCAACCACACAATTTGAAGGCATAATTAATTGTTGTCTGCCATTTATTCATGCATGAAGAGCAATGACAGCTTTTCTCCGGATTTGCACAGCACTACAATTGATTATGTGGTATTTGAATATTTAGTTTAAGAGGCGTGTACCTTAAGCGCGTCACAACTGGGATGATCCATTTTTCGATTATCAGTAGATTTTTCATCAAAACCACAACAACCAAACGCCTGCTGTACTTCCATTCTAGTATTGTTATCCATTTTCTCCCAACCCTAGGATAACAACTTGCAAAAACAGTATTACGTCAGATTGATTCTTAATACCTGTTCAGCCAATTGCTCTTGTTGTTCCATGTTAACACCTAAACACGCGCACGCTACAGAAAATTGAATGAGAAAGAGAAGAAACAGTATCACCATATACTAGGATACGTTAAGAAAATAAGTGCATTATACCAAATGACATATTATAAATGTTATAAATTATATATATTGCTAATGACTAATGGAAAACTTAGTACTGGAAAGGCCTACATGTTCAACACTTTCCATCTTCCGTATTTACATACAAGATGCTGACTCAAAATCACAGCTATGTTAATGTAATTCCTAGTACTGTCAAAAAAATAAATATACTAATTGGCTTATCGCGCCTGATCATCAGGGGGCGTAACTGCGTAACACAACAAAGGTTCAGCGATTCATTTGGAGCAATGACCCCTGGCGGCAAGACGGACTGTAAAATGTAAAATTTTGTAGCATGAAGGGCAAATAAAGCTGGTAGTCCCGACGATCATACCACGACTGTCGTTAGGTCACACAGATTCCTGTTGATGCAACCTGAAAGCGTCTGTACCTAGGGAGACCATACAAAAATAAACAATGCTTATTTAAGTACACTCTATCATTTCGGAAAATTAGAATTAGTTATTCCATTTTGTTTAACTTTAAGACAAGTGGGCACAATGGTGCAATCATATCGTAAATATCGAAATAAGTTTCATTTAAAAAAAGAACGCAATGTACCAGGCGGTCGCTTTAGGTTTACATATTAAATTTGGCAACTTACGAAATTACTGGTATAGAAAGTTTTATATGTGTAACGCTTCATAATGAAAGAGACCAGAACGTATTTCCGAAAAATAAAGAACCTTAAGATAAGGAACAAGTGGATAAGAGTCGAAACGATAAAGTGTTGCCGACTCTAGGAGCCGTTGTGACAGAGAATGAGAGGGTTAATGTGCGCTATATTTAGCTATGTGTAAAAATCTGGAGGGAGACCGGCATTCCTAATAAAATGTTCTGTATTTCAGGGCACACATTCAACAAGTTCTGCAAGGGGAAAATTTTTAAGGTGTAGGTTTTATTAATTTTATCTGTGTAACGTCATTAATTAATTACATGTTTATACACCGCAGTGGGGTGTAATAATAAAAAACAAAAGAATGTCAGACAGTAAACAATGGTCACAAATTAATCATTTGTTTTAAGTGTACTTTCTATTTCATAATAGAATAAGATTAGTTAAGGTGAATTTCGAAAAAATGAACTAGTGTTTTTAGATAATTGCGATGTAAACTGATAAGTGTATTACCTAAAAGCTGTAAAAAATGCATGAAAAGCTCTGATAAGATCCCTAAGAAATTCTGGAAAGGATTTAAACAGTTCGTCACAATAGCATTACAATACTTATGAAGGGCTATAGTAAATGCATGGGAGACTCGTACAGCCAACTATTCCTGTAGAAAGCGTGTTTTTCAGAGACTTAATGCTTCCCAGAATATCGAACGTGCATTTCATGAACACCTTCACTCTTTTCTAAAGCTCTCGTGACATAGCAGGCCCTGGAAAGACCCAAAAAATGTGTACAACATTCTGGAAGGCCCATAGAAAACTTGTACTATGCGATCAAAAATGAGTTGCTGTCGAGTCGCCTTTAAAATTTTTGTTTACATGGAAAATCGTATTTAACTTGAACTTGCAAAGGCGACTCGACAGCAACTCATTTCTGATCGCCCGTTATTACCTGGAGTATGGGATTTATCTCTCTTATACAATGGGTGAACCCTTGTACTTGTGCAGAAGGATCCACTTCATAAACTTGAGACAATGCATTATTATTTGTTTTTAAGGCTTTTTTGTCAAGTCAAAGTTTATACTTCTACATAATACGTTGCAGAAAGAATAGTTCTGTAGATATTAATCATTTTGGTACCTTGAATTATAGGCTTGATAATTATACTACTAAATGTGGCCTGGTTAGTGATTAATTACTGAGGGATTAAAATTGTTTTCATGGTAATTTCTACAAATACCTCCCGTTTAATTATCACAAAGCCCCATTAACATAAATTTGGTGTCGCCATTAAATATTCTATAGAATAAAATACCCGCTTTCAAAATATGCAATGTACAGACTTAAAAAGCTGAAGCAGAATACACCAACCTCTCAATTTCAATCGAAAAACATATTTTACGAGTAAAGGATACAAAAAAGAGCATAACTTGGTGATGCTTCACGGCACCAACCAGTCCGAGGAGCGATATCAAAAACAATATAACTCCACATGCTAGTATTCCTCCGACAATTGGTAAATTAGTAACAAGAGATGCGGCTCGTCCATACACGGCGACCCCAATTAAAATAAAGGATACAAGCTGTAAAAGAAAAAGAACAGGTTTATTATTGATCAATATTGCATTAAAAATGGCATTTATGAAGGTACTTACAATGTATAAAATGTTTAAAGAAATCAGGGCATTTTTAGAGCAAGTAAATCCTCCGCACATTGTCAATTCATCGAGAGAAAAAAACTGCGAAAAATATTTCTATTGTAATTTTTTAAGTGTCCCACAATTACATAGTAATCAATTTGATAATTGGCAGACTGGCCGACTGACGAAATTGCATGTGATACACACGAAAATCCCTGTTACTACAGTAGTGTATAGGGTGAAGCAAAAGTTAAAACGAATGGTTTGCAGTCATAGATTTAGGGCATTGTATAACCATTGAATTTATAGATAGTTTATAAATTCAATGGTATAACTAATAAATATACAATGCTTAGGGCCTTGGAGTTGTTTTCTACATTTAATTCAGTGAACAATGTCATCAAGTGAACGATGCCACGACTGCCACGCACCGGAACCGGATACAATTGAATTAGGCGTCTTTCAGGAGACTTTTTATCATGTAAAAGTAAAAGTAGACATAGGAAATCTCACTATGGTGAGGAGTCTCCATAAATCCGCACAGAAGAATGTTGATATCCCCTGGATCCTTAGCTTCTCCCATGATAAGAAAGTTGTCATCTTCTTCTTCTTCAGCAAGATCCACTACCTGTTGCATGGATTGCAAAATCTGTGAATTTTTCCTTTTGCCTGACCTTGCTCGACAAGGGACACCGATTATAGAAAATATGTGACAGTAGGAGAAAGCTTACACTATGGTTGGAGTAAGGCATTACATAAACATGGATATTTTTCCACTAAAAGACAAAAATCAAAATTTAATTTGCTTTCATTATCCGCAATTTTTAGCACTTCTTCAACAACAAGTTTATTACGACTCACGACTTACGACAATTCATCGTGCAAATTTGGTAAGTTTAGTTTCTAAGAAAAAAACGCCTTCAGGAGTAAAACTTACAAAAACCAAAAAATGATAAGAAAAATGACATATTTGCAAGTGCTGTGTCGCTCGCACAGGTCTTTCAATGTCGAAAACTTGGATTTTTCACATCCATATTCATCCTAACAATTCAAAAGAAAAAATAGAGATGACATATCTGATGCACGGAATGCTCATTTTTTGATCTAATTCACAGAATACGGCCTTATTATTATATCTTATTCTGTGGTCTAATTTGACTGTAACTATTATAGTAGCGTACGCCACAGAGTTGTATATAAGTACGCCAATAAAATTGAGAAAAAGCAATAAAATTTGTAGGCAACAACATACATATCAATACAATTATCTGGTTGAATCTATTATGGTACCTCTTTGATATTCATGAATTTTTATAAATTAATGATATGACCATGGCATAGAAAGCCGTTCTCACGATACACTCACCTGTATCGTGGCCGTTCCTAGACACTTGCCGCCCTTTTTTCCAACTTTATAGAATAACCAAGTTAACTAATAATGCTGTAATTTAAAAAGTAATGCACTAACAATAAATATTTCATTCACAAAAAAGGTACCTATAGGTATTAAGTATAATGTGCAAAAACCGAAAAAAACGCAAAACTAAAATTTCGCTTTCCTTGCTTTAACACTAACTTGAACCACTTCCTTTAAACCAATATTGTTCACTAAATTTTGTTCTATTGCTATAATTGCAAGATTTGTCAACTGTTCTTGTGTCATTGACGATCGCACATAATTTTTTATAATTTTCAATTTACTAAAGGACCGTTCTCCTGTTGCGACCGAATTTTGATAAAGAAAACTAACATACAAAGTATCTTGGATATAATCACATAATGTAGGTATAATTGTATAACAATAAAGCCTTTGAGGAGCGCTTGTTCTCTTATAACTTCTAGCCACCCTTTGCTTCGGTGGCCTGCGTGAGTTTTCAGGCATCGCCCTATAGGTAGGAGCGGCCCTGAGAATTAGGATCTACCTTAATTGTATTATACCTGCTTTTGTTCAACTGAAAAATTTGTCTCTCTGAAAAAAATTACTTGAGCTTCTCTTTTATTTTTTTAGTATTAAAACATACTTAAGTGAACTTTTGTTCACATTTCTAACAGTACCTACCATAGCAGATTTGGGACATTATATTTAACCAATTTTTACTTTGCACAGAATGTATGTATCGACTTGGTCTATCAGTTATCAGTTATTACATAACTTTAGAGCAGTGAACAGAAAACCAAGTTTAATGTGTAAAGTTGACAGGTAAGTGTTACATGTTAAGTTCTTGTGCAAATTCATCTCATTGAAATATTAAGTTAGGTACTTGAAGCATGGACTTGGGTATTTCTAGTCTATGCTGGAAGTGAATAATATTAACTTGAATCAAGAATAAAGTTATGCTAGGTTATGTCAATGTATAGCAAATTAATCATATATGTATAAAAGAAATTAATACAAGTTTGGGTGACAAAAAAACTGCTTTGAGCTTTAGTAATGACTAATGACACTAATAGATTATGGAGATTTATAAATCTATGCATCAAATATAAAGTAACATTTATTTACCTAAAATACATTCTTTAATTCTACCGGTACATCAACCGGCTGAAATGCATAGTCTATACCTAACTCTTTCAACTTTAGCATGGTTTTACGAACTGAACTCATCCACTTATGACAATGTCGGATATATGTGTCATGATCAGGGTCTGCATTCTTTGCTTGGTTTAATCTTTCACGTTTCTCCTTCAGAGGATAGTTTTCCGCCGTCCAAGATGGTGTAAAACTCATTCTCAAATTTTTTAATTTGTCAGCGGGAACAAATTTTGCTAAAAATTACCTCTTTCAACTTCTTTCCATATTTATGCCTTTGTATTACCTTCTAGTCTTTTTTTGAACATAAGATAATTGTCCATAGTTTCTGCAGCAATTTTAGCAACTTCTGAGTGTTCAAATTCGATGAAAGCGTACCCTTGACTTTTACCTGTGCGAGGTGAACGGTACAGCCGTACATTTATTACCTTTCCAAACTGGCCAAAATAGGAACGCATTTCTTCTTCGTAGAATCCGTGTGGTATGTGGCCTAGGTACACAAACCCATGTTGTTTTCTTGGAAGTTTTCCCTATAAAATTATTCATTATTTACGAACTTTGAATGGAGATTTTTCACTTTTGATACCTTTTTATTTTTTGTAATTCGTGGAGATGTTTTTTTTCGTAAATTAGGTTGTTTACTTTTAGGTTTTGTATCGTTTACTTTAGAATTCATATTTACAAAATATTAATAAATCCTTAAAAACACACGCAATTACACAAACAAGCTTATTGAGGTTATGATAAAAATTGAAAGGAGTAGGACACGTGCTAAATGTACAACGTTGTCAAGTCTACAATTATTTCACAAAATGCGCGGTTTACATGGAAGGGGTTACGTGCTATTACAGGCAGCATTGATTAATTATAGGTACTGTGCGATCAAAAATGAGTTGCTGTCGAGTCACTTTTGGAACTTTTGTTTATATGGGAAATCGTATTTAACTTGAACTTCCAAAGGCGACTCGACAGCAACCCATTTTTGATCGCCCGTTCCGTTACACTGTATATATTCAATGCAGGCAGCTTTCCTCAAAATCTGGTGATTGTTTATTCATATTTCTTAAACAATGCCCTGGTTTACAATATGTTTGTAGTTAAGGAGGGCGTGATTGTGGTGAACTACCTAATTGTGATCCGTGTAGTTTTTGAACAAACACTTCTCAAAAAACTCACTGAAGCAAGTGAAAGCTGGATAAATGTTCCAATCGAATGGACTTGTACTAATAAATGAATTAATTATTTTTTCATGGATAGATAGATGCCGACCGATCATCGATGATCATTTACCGCGCGCCAACTGTCAAAGGCGCGAACTCTCAAATGCGCGAAGTTTAAATCGTCGTTAAGTTTTCTGCAGTTTTCCAATTTTCTGCGCAATTTCCTTAGGTTCTCTTTCCGTAAGAACCTTCTATGAAGTATTAGAAAATTAAAAAAAAAAGTTGAATGAAATCGGTAAAGTCGTTCTAAAGCTATTTCGTGACCATTTTTATACAGGGTGACAATTTGAAAACTTACCACCCCCCATATCTTAGTAAATAAACGAGATATTTAAAAAAATCAAAATCCGTTTCGGTAATTCGGAGGGGAATCACAATGACATAGTTGGCGACGCACCCCCTCCAACCCCCTGCGCCCCAGCCACCCCAACTTTTAAATCTTAAATAGTGACACCCCACGTGTGATATGTCGTTGGAAAGCTCTGAAAAAATGCTTTCCAACCATACCAAATATTATTACATTTAGGTTAGTAATTATCGTGCAAATCAAAAAATAAACTAATATGATACATTTGAAATCTGTCGTATTTAAAACGCAACCGGCGAACATTAGACGAACTAAGACAGAGAATAATTCAAGAATGTCGAAATATTGCAAAACCAACATAGGAAAGGTTCGACAAGAGTTTGAGAATAGATTATAACTGGCGATCAAAAATGAATTGCTGTCGAGTCGGCTTTGGAAGTTCAAGTTAAATACGATTTTCCATGTTTATTTTTTGATTTGCACGATAATTACTAACCTAAATGTAATACTATTTGGTATGGTTGGAAAGTATTTTTTCAGAGCTTTCCAACGACGTATCACACATGGGGGGTCACTATTTAAGATTTTAAAGTTGGGGTGGCTGGGGCGCAGGGGGTGTGAGGGGGTGCGTCGCCAACTATGTCATTGAGATTCCCCCTCCGAATTACCGAAACGGATTTTGATATTTTTAAATATCTCGTTTATTTACTAAGATATGGGGGGTGGTAAGTTTTCAAATTGTCACCCTGTATATAGAGATACCTATATATAACAATATAAAAAATATATAAAAAGTAAATTTGTGAATTATCTTTTGTAAACGACGCTGCTCTTGGATTTAGTTTTAAATAATAGTATAGAGAAAGAATCACTTTTCATATACATAGATAAAACCTACTTCCAGTAAATTTATTAGAAAATGTAACAATAATGAATGCATATAAACTAAAATGGTATATAGTACAAGAAAATTCGGTCACAACTTTATTGTAAATGATCAATAGTTTTCGACAGTTTTCTGTTTTTTCAATTGTTTCGTTCGTATAGCTGCCCCCTTCGTTCTCTTCCATTTCATTCTCCTATTTTGAAACCAAACTTTCACCTACAATAAATTATTGTTAGTGCACTAAGAAGTCTACTACCACTTTCACTATATCAGTTACTTACTTGTCTCTCGGACAGATCTAGGGCAACCGCTATTTCATATCGTCGTAATCTTGTCAAATAGTTTGAATTAATAAATTCCGCTTCCAACTCTTTTATTTGAGTTTTAGTGAATGCCGTTCTTTCTTTTCGGGGTTTGGTAGCTCCCTGATGGTTACAATCTAAAACAAAATATGCAATAAAAACACTGTTTTCACTTAAGACTTAAGCTCCGATTGGCGGGATTTAAGGTTTTACCCAAGGATACTATATAATATAAGGATTGCTCGATCCCTATACTTGTAATGTTGCCCGCGTTTAAGTCATATGTGACGTCACCAACGGACCTGGCTGTCAGAATTGACAGTTATAATTTGCTAAGTTGTGAACGTATTTGCATGGACGCCAGGACGCCGATGTTCAATATTAGACTGTAACAACAGCCGTGTTTGCACAAAAATCACTAACCCGGAAGTCATTTACCATAACTTCCCTAAAATCGATGGATTAATACGCAAGGAATGGATATGGTGTTGCAAGCGAGATTAATGGACAAGTGTTTCTAATTTAAATGCCTGCCTACAACACCCATTTGAACCTTGAACGTATTTTATGGTATTAAAGGTCGATTCTCATTAGAGCAGCACCGAGCGGCGCAGAGCAGCGCGGCGCGTCGCTAGCAGCAAATTGTAGAGGGGTATTCCCACTTAAGCACCATTTGGAAGCGTGACGAAGCAGCGTTTCTGTTTGTGTTCAGTTTAAGGGAGAATGTATTCTTACACGCTCGAAGAAGAGCCATCATCGTCATCATCACCAGATGATTTCACAATATTTATAGCGGCACTATGCCATGTACACGACGAAAAAAGAAGAAAAAGAAAGCGGACGAGTACAATTAATTTTTCTATTCTTTGTCCGTCCATAGCGAATCCACTAACACACGCAAGCTCAACACAGAAGACAAATGAATGCTTTTCACAAGCCGCAGCACCACGCTGATCTGCTTCGCTCCTCAATTCCCACTTGTCCGTCTACACGCAGAGCGGCGCGTTTCAAAGCAGCGCCGCGTATTCCAATGCTTCCCGACGCGTTTAAAATTTGCTGCGCTGCACCGCGCCGCTCTGCACCGCTCTGCCTAGGTGAAAACGGATCTACTGATCTCGCTTTTCACCGCGCCGCGCTGCTCGATGCTGCTATAATGGGAATCGGCCTTAATCAAAGCATGCGCTGGTACTGGGTCCGCGAGTGACGTCACTACACGCGGCGAAAAAATTCAGTGATCGAGCAATCCTTACATTATATAGTATCCTTGGGTTTTACCGCTAGAAAATATTAAGGTGGATTTGTGGATTCATGTTGTTACCATAGCTTACTACTAAGTAAGTTGTTGTTACGTTGTCAGTCATTTACGAATATACTTTGCTGATTTATACCATTTTTTTTATGTTACCAGTGCGCCATAATCGTAGAATAGTATTAAAGAAACAAAACGGTTCAGAAGAGAAAGCAAAAATAAATATATGTTCCTTTTTTTTTTCAAATTTTGGAAACCCGTTTAGTTAAGAAGTAAGTTATTTTTATGGTAGATTTGTTATTATCTTAGTTCTTTACTTTCGTTGCTACAGGCCATCCGAGTGTTATAGGTTTTATTTACATAGTTGTCGTGCATATGTTTTCCGTGATACCTCTAATTCGATCCCTTCTTTAATTTGGTCTTGCGTACAGTTGTATTTCTTTTGCGCAGAGCAAGTTTTGCCTTCACAGTGGTTACGTGCAAATTATTCTTCTCGATGCACCATTAATTTTTACTTAACTTATTGCCTATCTGACTAAGGGCTTTTGATATTGGATATCACTCTATTACTTTGGAGTGTTTCTCTCTCTATGTTTGGTGCTCCATTGAATACGCTTAGCGGATTAATATTTGCAAGTACTTAATTAGTGTGAGGTATGTAAAGATTACGAATCAGTAGTATTCTTAATACGTACTTCATCTTCCCTCAAAGTTTTTTCATTCAGTTTAAGAACGCTTTTAAAGAGGAATTTTTCGAAAGTAGTTTTGTCCGTCTGTCGGTCCATATTTCCTCGTCTCGAATAGAATATCTAATGTATGGCACAAATGAATCTTTATTAGGTATGGCATTAGAAGCTTTTGACAACGCCTACTACACAAAAATGTAAAAAATTCGACGTCAATTAATAATAAACAATTTTTAACATTTTTGTGTAGTAGGCGTTGGCAAAATGTCAAAATAATTCATTGATGGTTTAAGTGACATATCTAATAAAACGAATATTTGTAAATAATATTCTGCCATACATCCCTGTATACCTAATAAAAGTGCTACTCAATACAGTATCTACTTTTCCGGTCCAGATAAGAATATGAGGTTGATGGTGGTTTCGCAAAGACTAAACGGTGCACTTAAAATCTGTGAGAAGCATCTTGTAGACTGTAGAGTTAAACAAATATAAACTGTCCACAACTCTGATGCAGATAAAGCGCATTTTTTAAACCGAAATAGCTTTTGTTTTTTTGACATCACCAATGGATATATTTCTTGCAGACGTCTCAATCGCCCTTTGTGAGTACCCTCTTCCGACAATCCGTTCTTGAGGTATAAGGGAATATACCCGATCACGATAAGAGGTCGAGGAGAAGGGCTATGTTTGGTAGAAATAGCTCGTACTTTGATAAGAGGACAGAAAGAAGGGCAGCAGTTCAGTGGCGTACGTAGAAATTTATTCTGGGGGGGATTAAACAAGTTCGTGGCACATACAGTCACCCAGTGCGTACTAGGAGGGGGGGGGGGGGGTAAGAAATAGAAAATGGGTTGCAGGTTGCTGATGCTGGTAGTCATTTATCTATTTATTATTGTACAGGCGAAAAAGATTAGATTAGAACGATATTTTATTTCTTACTGCTGACAGGCCCCTTTATTGCTTTTGCTTTAATTAGTCAACGAAAACTTTGAATAATAGGTATATTTATGGGCAAAAAA